ACCTAGAGCAGATGTCTCCAACTTTTTTTTATGACACATAGCTATCAGTAAAACATTTTGGAAAATAACTTCTGAATATATGTATATCTACTTATTTATAATGTATACCCATGTACTACTGTACGAATAATGATGAACATTATAAAACTTGGACAAAATAGAAATTTTTTAAGGATGACAGAAAAATGAAATAATATTCAAACCTACTGTCAATAGAGAGCCACTGGAGTTTACTAAATAGGGAGAGAGTGACATGGTCATATCTGTGCTAAAGGAAAATCACTTTGGCAGCTGAGTGAAGGATGGATTGGACTGGGATAGAATTGAGACAGAGGTGAGAGGTGATGAGAGGCTAACCTAGGGTGTTGACTCAAGGAAAGGGAACAGATGCAAGAAATGCTTTGGAGGTATAAAATAAAATATTTAGCATAACTAACATGTGGGGTGATGGAGAATGAGGTGTCTAAAATGATACTGACACTGTGAATCTGGGTGATTGGAAGAATGGGGGCACCCAGAGTTGTGGGTTTAGAAGGAAACTTAATGTACAGAGGTTAGTGATAAAGACCACAACACAACCACGCCTTCACTGCCCAAGAGCAGAATGTTTGTCCTTCCCGGGGGCACCTGTGGAAGCTATGGGATGATTCTAGGAACGAGGGGTGGGTGCGGTTCTACCAGGGAGAGTTTTATCCTCACCTCCTTCCTGCCTTCTTCACAGATTCCTCATGGATAAACAAGTCTTCTACATGATTCTATAAAGAGAAGTGTTTCACATCAAGCCAGTTCTCAACTGTCACTTCCAATAGCCAATTTAACTCCCATTCTCCCAATAGTCAGTCTGTAGCTATGTCCTTAATGAAACTGTGATAATTTTGTGTAGTTTCTATGACAGCTACATTGGGAGTAGATTGGAAACGCACCCATTTATACGATGGTTTTCTCACCCTGAGGGCTGGGATGTTTTAGTGGCCCAGTTTTCCTTGAATGCAGGGTAATAAGGGGAAATAATGTGAGATAAAGTTGGGGAGGTATGACACCAGAAGGACATGAATACTAAGCTAAGGCGTGCTCTATCTGGCAGGCAATAGGAAATTCTGGAAGATTTTTGAGGAGAGGAATAACATCATCAAAGCTGAGCATCAGGAAGAAACATGTAAGCCTATTTCTTTTCATCCAATGTTCATTGGAATTGGACAAGACCTTTTTCAACATTAATCTATATAATAAACTATTATATACTTGACAATGATTATCCTCTTTTTTAAAGCTCTTTAAGAATTTTTAAGCTCTTAACCCCATTAGCCTTTACTTATAGGATTTGTTCTTGCACTTACATTCTCTTATCCCAATTTCTTTTTACTCAAATACGTGAAATTTCATCAGTTGGAATTTCCCTGCAGCGATGCAGTTTGCCTCTGGTCTATGCCTCCCTATAGTAAAGATACCAATGAAGCAATCTAGCTGTCCACCTGCCATTCCTTTATGACATTCTTGACACCTGTTATTCAGAGTTCCTGGTTGGTTATATGCTGCAATTTGCTCACACACTCCACATGTGGCTTACCATTGCCCTACGTGCGAATCTTATCCTTAATTCTTTGGAGGCAGCGGTCTTCCATCTCTCACCGCCAGAAAGCAATGCTACTAAAATGTTAGCATCAAAAAATGAGCCTTTGCTTTCATGAGAAGTTTTCAGTCAATAAGAGTTTTGAAACCTCCTTTGGGCAATCCAGCAGTTTCTTCATAGCCTCTTAAAAACAAATAGACCCCAAATCAAACGCAGAATATTAAAAAGGACCTCACTAAGACGGGAAAGTTCCATTCCATATGTTTCTTGTACATTTCCATTAGCCTACCTGAGCACTTACCTGTTATTTAAAATAGCAATATAACATTGTTGATTCATGTTCACATTTAAGATATGTAGGTTTCTCTGAGTGATTCTCACTTGTTCTTTATTTCCAAAATAGGGTTTGACTGTTAACTCCTACATACACAGCTTCTTCTGTGTATTTTTCCATTGTTGGCTTTTGTTTCACCATGAGAAGTTTATGTCTTCAGTAGGTTCTTACCAAACAAATTCCAGGGTTATTTATTTTTAACTGTACTATTTTTTCAATTTAACAAGGAATATTTAAGTAAACAAAACTATGTTGTTCCTCATGGCATCAAAAACACAAAACATTCTGGTCAATTTTGAGCTAAGTATTTGCAGATATTTCAAATGTCATGAACTGTTTAGTTAATCTTGATGGAAACATGTTGCCAGCACCAAAGGAAAATTACAAATGACTTCAATTATTCAGGGAACTAGAATTCCAAATTATTTCTTCTTCTTCTTCCTTAGAGATCCCATAGTCTGATAAGCCAGTGCACCTACCATGTTTAAATTCAAAATACATTTGTATCATCAAATTTGGCTCATACATTTTAGTCTTTAAAAGACTATGAAAGGCCAATAAATCTAAAAAAGAGAGAAATACCTTCAAAGACCTATTATGATGGTCTTTACGAGACAGCCAACCATAGTTATATGATGAGACTTTATGCAAAAAACTTACAAAATCAAATATTTTATGACCATTTGATCATTACTCAGTGATTTGCATTTTTAAAAAGTATTAAGAGAATGTAATGGTACTGATTAGGACTGGGTAGGCCTTTGTCCAATAGAGATGAACATGTGCCTAGCCCCTCAAAATCCCCAAGGACTAGGGCTACATCCACAATGACTAACCATTGACAGCTGGGAGAAGGTGCAGAGAAGCTGCCTCACAGGGTCCATAAGAGTGAGTTGTTTAACAACTCACATTTATTAAACCACTTTTATACATTTTTTCTCATTCTTCCTCTCCCTGTCTGGGACTTGTCCCTGTCCTGGCTGGAGTGAAAGAAGGAGGTCAAAGGAAAGAGGAAGGGATTTCTTCTCTCCCCTTGAATAAGAGTAGAAAATGGTAACTTTGCCAGTAGCTGACCTGAGGTGGGGAGCCAGGAAAGGCAGTCTCTGCACCTGAATTCAATTGCTGGCTGTCTTTCATCTTCCTTTCCTGAGCACAGGTTAGATAGAGATGAACGATCCTGAAAATGACCATTTCTATCTTTGAGGTTGTTGCCTAATCCTGAGTTTGAGAGTTAGGCACTGGGTTCCCAGAGTGAAATTTCCTTAATAGCGTGTTCCTCTGAGAAGAAGCCTGCTAGCAATGGAAGGGGGGGAGGGGGGAACTACAGTGATGTGAGAAACCAGGAGCTCTGGACCTTCCCATCCCTCCATGACAGTGCTGTGTTCGTAGGGAGCAATCTCCCCCAAGGTAAATGCAGAGTGTTTGTTCAACAATTACCTGCCAAGTGAACGTAACGGGCTCTTTGTTCTGTTTTCTGTATTTATTCAGGGCACTTGTGTCCTTTTGATCTTGCATATTTTCTATGTCTGTTAAATAAAAGCTGTTACCACATCTGATCCCCATACTGTATACTGAATAACTCTGCAGGAGAAAACCCAGCCATTCACCTTTAGGAGACCTAGAAGTCTTCATCTAAACTTTCATGGAGAAATAAAGATGCAGGGGTGGGGAACCGGTGGCCTTGAGGCCACACGTGGTCCTCTAGGTCCTCAAGTGAGGCCCTTTGAGAATCCAAAGTTTACATTTCAGTCAAGTCCGGATTTGGAAAAGGGCTGCCCTCGAGGACCTAGAGAGCCACATGTGGCCTCGAGGCCACAGGTTCCCCACCACTGGTAGAGAATAATAGTCCCAAGAGAGGGACGCACAGGGTCAAGCATCCAGGATCTGACTTACAGTTGGATGTTCCCAGATGGACTGAGACACAGGTGATAAGAATATTTTGCACATTTTATGCAAACCACACATCTCAAAAATCTCTCTAATAGTCATGGACTCCATTTCATCAACGTGTAACCAAAAGTAAAGTGATGTCACTTGCCCCACCTTCCCCCTAGAAGAATGACAGGATTTAAAGCTGGGAGAGACCTTAGAGATGGAGTTCAACTTCCTTTTATAAGTGAGGTAAGTGAGGCCCGAGGAAGAAATGAATTTTCCTAGAGACACACAGGCAGGATGCCACATGCGAAGGTGAGATCTGGATCCAGGTCTACCAGCCCAGACCTGGTGCTGTTCCCACCCTCCCAACACTTTCTCTCTTGGAGAAAAGCTTCAGAAGGCCCAAGTACGCAAGATTAAACTACAAAGTAAGATTAGGAGAATGGAAACAATGTGGATTGTAGAAGAGGAGAGTGATGGGGTGACTTTAAAATGTCTTTCAAGTATCAGATATGAGAGTGTAGCAATTGCCCTTTAGCCTTGTTGAAGACAGAACTAGTAGAAACGTCCTGGAAATTCAAAGTGAGATGTTTAGGTTAAATAGAAGGAAGTAGTTAATTTCAATGAGTGGTGTTAGCCAGACAAGCTCAGTTAGCTAAAGTTACCTTTAAAAATAGGTTAGTCATTTTTTTGGGAGAAAGGGAATTGAATTTGTGCCAATTTTGCCAGGAGGCAGAGTGGAATACACACACACACACACACACACACACACACACACACACATATACATATATATGTATATATACATGTATATGGATACATACACACATACACACACACACACACACACATATATATATATGTATATAGATATATATATCTCCCTTGAACTCTTTTTTCATATCATATACTTCATCCTGGAAAAAAAATGGTGAGAGTATACAGCCTCTAGAAAACAAGTTTTGCTTTGAAAAGCAACAAGAAAAACTAACTATAAAGGAAAGGAATAAACATTTATATAATGTCTATTATGTGCCAGGCACACTACTAAGCAATTTTTTTCCTAAATATTATCTCATTTGAGCCTCACAACAACCCTGGCAGGTAGGTGCTACTATTATCCCCATTTTACAGTTGAGGAAACTGAGTCAAATAGAGGTTAAGTGACTTGTCCAAGGTCACATGGCTAGTAAGTATCTGAGGCTGGATTTGAACTCAGGCCTTCCTGACTCCGTCTCCAGCATCCTATCCACTGCACCATCAGCTGCATCTGTTATAACACAATAATACCCACAAAGAAATTACTTAGGTAATGGTGGATAATCACAAGCATGGCAAATTTGCTGGTTTTTTTTAAATTTAGGATTATTCATTTTCTCTAAGAATAACAGCTGTGAAAATCCTATGAGGCAAACGTAGTTATTAGAACTGTACAGATATACTTAATACATCCACTTACTATATTTGTAGCTTCTTAATTTAAATAGATGTATACATACACATTAACATACAAGAAAATTACAGTATATACAAACCAAGTGGGAAAAGAAAAGCATTTTAAAAGACCTTAGAAGTTTTTCAATATCTCCATCCTATTAAAAATGGCACTACTATATACAGTATACAATTTTATAAAATGAATTCCATAAGCAAAATGTTTTCTTTGGTTTAGCAAAATGGTCCCAAATGAGAAAACTCATCTTGTTAATACTCTAGTTAAACATTCCTGAACTGGGACTGTCTTGTGTCGGCTGATTACTGCAGGGGAAGAGACAGAAGCAAACAGCTGATTTTCTTTACTCTGGAACTGGCACTTGGGACAACTCTGTGAACACTGGGGATCACTGGAGGAGTGAGCCTCTAGGTCATTTCACAGTGCGAAGTAAGACTAAGGAGTCCTGCCAAAATGGGAGAGGGAAGTCTCCACTCTCACTAATGGTGTTCCCCACTGGTGAGCATTCAGTGGAATTCACTAGCATGAATTTATGTGGTTCTAATGTTGGCCTTCAATGACATCTATGATCCTGTTGATCTCTCATTTGGTAGGGCAGTGGTAAGAAGGAAGGGAATGAAATCCTCGTTGACTCGTTTATTTAAAATTCTGTTATTTTCCCCAAGCTCCTGTTTTACTTCCAAATTTTAAATCAAGAAAAAAAAATACATTCAGCCCTCAAATGTCTTTATAAAGAATTATTGACTCATTGCTGATCATAATAATCAACATTTGCATGATTGAATTTCCTTTCAAATTAATTATAGTAATGGTCTTTTCCTTTGATTTTCTAATGAGGACATTCATAGACATGGCTAAAATATTTCAAAGCTCCAGAGCCAGCTAGTGAAATTTATTTCTTTTTTTTAAATGATAAATAAATGCCTTTTCAGTTTTATTTCCATGTGCTTTTTACTTTAAGTACGAGAAGAAACAGATTGAAGGGCATGAAGCAGAGGGAATAAGAAGAAGAAGAAGCAGTATTTCCCCATTGTCCAAGGGAAGGTGTTGCTTCCCTATACATTGTAACTCCCTTCAAGCAGTTATACTGTTTCCAGTAAGGACTGCTTTCATGAAGGTATCAGGGCTCACTTTACAGTATAACATCAAAAATTTAGAACTGTAACTTCAATGACCATCTACTCCAAACCCCTCATTTAGTGAGGTTAAAAGAAAACAGGTGACTTCTGCAAGGTCACATGGGTAGTAAGTAGAAAATAGAGGATTTGAACCCAGGTCCTCATATTCAAAATTCATCACTCTTTCCACTGTCTCACTTTTATAACTGCACTATGCTAAAGCTGGCATGAGAGGTATTTCACTAAAAGTAGAAAAGTCAAAGAATCTTCAAATATTCACAGTTTCCAGCATCTGTGTTTGACATATGTAATTAGTTGGAATTGTCATTTCAAACTTTAGGGACGGAAGGCTACAAGCAGAATCTTTATACTGCCAGCCTCTTTTTATTTGCTTAGAACCCAACAATAGCTCCCAAGATCTCTATGATAAGTCATTTCTAAGGAGGTACAAGGAGGGCTGCGGGGTGACTTGAGATGACATAGCTGTTTCCTCTTTTTCTTTGCTTCCTCCCTCTACAAGATGTCTTAGTTGGCTCTCAAATACGTTTTACTTTTGAAGGAATCATAGGAAAGGAAGATGGGAAGGCAAGTAGAAGGGAGAAGAACCTGTGCTTCTTTTCTGGGAGCTGTTTTGGGGTAACCTTCAACATTTCAGAAAAGTGAAGGATATTGTTGATCATTATCATGGCTAGCTAGCAGCTTCTCATTTAGATATCGGAATTCAAACACCCTCCCAACAAACCCTACATCCACAGGAGAGGAGTGCTCTTCCCCTGCCAGGCTTTACAAAATACATCCACATGAAATGGCTTCATACTGCTAGAGGGCATCAGGGTGGATGATTGCTCCTTCTGTGCCTCCTCTGCGGTGTGTGGGAAGCAGAAAACTCTTCACTTCCTTCAGAAGTCCTTATCCCAACCCGACATTTCGTCTGGGGGTATTCCCTTCTCAGGGGGATAGTTGTCAAAGTAGCTGTGATCTATGGGTCCATTGAGCTAACAGGAAAACAATGGAAGCAAATGTAAACAATATCACAGTGTCCCAAATGAATGGTTCTCAGACAGCCAAAATGGTGATTTTATGCTATGATCACTCCTTTTTTTTTCTAACCAAAAAAGAATATTTCACAACAGAATATCTGAATCATCAATTCAAATCTAAATAACACAAATCTCATAACATAATTTTTCTGGCCAGACCTGTGATTTCATTGGGGTAGAGAACCTAAGGTGTCAAAACTCCTACCGGTGCAAACCAATCCCTGGGGCTGCCTGGACACAGGGAAGAGAAGGAGGTCCAGAAGCAGGACTTAAGCTCAGTTCTTGTTGACTCTAAGGCTGCCTTCCATCCTCTATGTCATTAGGCACCCTCTTTTTGTAATTAATATCCAAAGTTGTTTCATATACTGTAATTCCAAAGGGTCTTTTGTTATTATGGGGAAGAGAAGAAATGTTTAAAAAAAAAAAAAAGAAACCTATTCGAGCCCATCCCTTCTCTACTCCTCACCCCACAATGACCAAAAGAGAATCAAAAAGAGTGTTCAACAACTAGGTGCCCGAGGAACTTCTTTTTTTCCCTTTTCTTGAATAGAAATTTAAAACAACAGGTCTTGAGACTATTTCTAGAACACACATTAGCACTGCTAGGCCAGGTTAAATGTCTCAGATCCTTCTCCGTCTCACAATGGCTCCCATGAGTTCTTAACCTAGGGTCCATGAATTTTACAAGAATATTTTGATAATTGTATTTCAATATAATTAGTTTCCTTTGAATTTTATTGGATGCATTTAAAAATGTTATTCTGAGAAGGGGTCTCCAGGATTCCCCAGGCCACCAAAGGGGTCCACAACATAAAAAGGTGAGGAATCCTCCCCTTGGAACAATCATTTTCCCAACTCTATTCTACAGAATCTTGCTGGTCCATGCGATGTGAAGAGGGGTTCTGTGAGAAAATCTGGCTGCTACTTTTTATCCCCCTCTAAAACACTAAATATGAAATTATATATTATAAAAATTTGTTATATGTAGCATATTGTTATGAAAACAAAATTTGCTAATTTCCTCTGTTTAACTCCCAGAGTTTGTCAACATTCACCTTCTCTTTTTCATACTCTCAGACCATGGACTAGCCCTCGTCTATGGGTTCTATCTATGTGTTTTACACCAAAAGATGCTCTATGCCCACATCAGTTTGGAAAATTCTGCTATAAAGACATACTTCAACCTTCCCCCTTCTAATCAAAATGGAATCCCCATCTTAGTGCTTAGGAATCAAAGGGCACCTTCATGGTCCCTTAAAGCAGGAAGATTATTCTTCACAGTCATTTATCCCCCTTCACTATTTTCATTTTTTTAATCTATTTGACAATGTGCAAAAACGGTTCCTATGGAAACAAGAGAGTAGATATAATACCTGTCTTTTCAAGGGTGATGGCAGGCTTCTTGCCTTCAGTCCCTCCCAGTTAAAGCCATTCAGCCACCTCAGAAGAAATACGAAAAAGAAAGGGTTACCATTACGATAAATTCATCATCAGAATAATAAAATTCTTTCTTTAGCTCAGGTGATCTTGTCCCTGTTTTGAACATGACTGCTCATTTCCTAAGTAGATCACCACTGGGCAGTATGACTAGATGATATAGATCTGAAATGCCCCCTGGAAGTGAGGGTCTTAGTTTGTCCTCAGTAGAGCTCCTTAGTAAGTCCAACGGCACCAAAAGGACAGCTTCTCACAGCAGACCAAGTTCAGAATCATTCTCATTTGAAGGACTGGTTCTGCCCTTCAGTGTTCATTCTCAGTCACTTCTTAATAGACGAGTTACACAAGAAGAAGCAGAGTTAAGAAGATAAGTCTTGTTAAGTCAGAAGGTCTAACTCCTTTTCTTAGTGTTTATTACTCCTTTAATATAAAAAGTTTATTTTTATATTACAATTCTATTCTATTCAAATACTTATAAATGATATAGGCAAAAAGAATTTTTTGAAAGTCATAGAATTCTGTTAAGCAAAATGAAACCACTGCAAATGAATTACAATCTAATTTAGAGTATGCGTTTTATGAAAGTCACCACAGGTACAGGAGACTAATTTGGGTACCATGTCATTTGACTAAATTCATTACATATTCAATTATGATAAGTTTCTGTTATAGAAAAAAATCAGTATTTTGAAGTTCTACAGCAGCCTTATAAAATTTTCCATTATGATATCCACATCATAGGAATAATATGATATGTCACATAAGTAATAATTTAAAGCTTTGTGTACTGAGGTCCTTAGAAGAAAATCTTACAGCATATAAACTATAATAGCAAAAAAAATACAAATACAAAAAAATATATTAAAAAAATACAAAGAAATACAGCATTTTAGCGGTTGATTCTGCTGACTTCCTTGGCTACCAACATCTTAAAAAATCAGGGCTTCTAAATACAGAAATATACTAATTTCCCTATTAGAAATAATCCCTTCCTAGAACTTAAGCTTTTTAAAATCATTGAAAGGGATGAAGAGTTAATTATTTGAGGGCTTTAAATGTTGCTTTCCACAACTTGCATCCAAAAAGTAAGGCATACTAAACTAGCTATGGACTTTTATTTCCACTGAGATATAAAAGCTGTATATTCTGAAACTATTAGAGGAATTACTTTTAGCTTTATTATTACAACTGTGCCCCTTGATATGACAAAGAAAATTCTGGATAATATCTGGAAGTATCAAATGCTAAAAACTAGAAAATAGCTTTTGACCCATAAAGAAAGCCATTTTAAAAATCCAACAAATTTTACTATTTATTTGTTTTTCTGAGCAAAGAGAAATGATTATGGTACCTGTGCCTCTTAATGTCATTGATTCCACTCTTCAGGTTTCCCAGCCTTTCTGTAGGATTTTGCCTTAAAAAAAAAGTTTGTATGAGTTTATAACAATTTCACTTCAGTAAAATAGCAATGTTAATTTTCCTCCTTTCACTCGTGTGTCTTTATAGCAAAAACATTCTGAGTTTGCCAGAGTGTGACATATTAAATAATTTTTCTCATGTAACATTTTTTAGTTACTGAGATCTACTGAAAATTAAATAAAAATTATAGAAATTTTCCATCATAAGAGTTAAGGGGAGGATTTTCGGGGGGGGGAGAGAAATATCTGTGCAAAATGTAAAAATGTAAAATTTGGGGATTTAAAAATAAAGCAAAATTGATTCAGTCTGCAATAGACTACACGAGACTTTTAAAACATTGCCTCATGCTTAGAATGACATGGATATAAATCGCTCACTACCTTATTAGCCTAGAGTTCAGAATTCTCTGTTGCTCTGTAAGAGAGAAAGATATTTCTCAAGATTAACCCTGACTGATAAAGAAACTGCAACTATTCATGCAACATGAGGGCAACTCTCAGTCTCAGACCTATATACCCTGGAAAGTAAAATGTGGCCCCTCATTTTGCAGTTACAAAGTTTAGATATTGATGGAAAAGATTTTGGTTTTTGGTCCAGACATTATTCCATCTATGTAGGGAACTATTCACAATTTTACAGTCACCGGGGCAAGCACGTATTGGAGGCAGTCTTGAGTACAGGTATTCCTGACTCCAAGGCTGGCCTCCTCCCCCCCAGAGTATGCTGCCTCTCAGTGAACCAGAGGGACCTGAAGTGACTTGCCCAGGGTCACATAGCTAGGAAGTATCAAGTTTCTGAGGCCGCATTTGACTCAGGTCCTCCTGACTCCAGAGCTATGCTCTATTCACTGCACCATCTACCTTCCCCTGGGACACATAAAATTAACCAAATATTTTATATTGTGGAGAAAAGAATGTGGAAACTTCTTATAACGAAGGGGCTATCTCAATTATATGCTACCATTATTAGTTATGCTACCTGCAAAGTCGGCGGATCAAATCTTCAGGGCGTCGTGTTACCTTCTTGGGAAAATCTATTTTCTCAATTCCTTTGAGAATCAAATTATAAGTCATCATTTGGTCAATCCCAGAAAATGGAGGGCTAGAGAAATGCAAGAATAGAACACATTTTTAACATTCCCAATTTAAAAAAAAAATTCAAGCACCAGTCTACGAAAGACTAAATTCAATCAGAAAAAAAAAAGAGTCCTAAGTTTTAATATAGAAATCATTTTTAGGTTTATATATGTAAATATTTTTGGCTATTGTTTGGTCTCAGACAAAAAAATTTGGTCTCAAATGTGAATCTAATTACAGTTCTTAAACATTTTTCCTAATGAAGTTGCTTAGACCTTTTACCTGTGACCCCTGTTGACTGAAATGATTAGGGCATAGTCTTTTAGGGCAATGGTGTTCAACTGAAATTGAAACAGCGGCTAACCCATAAATAAGGATCCCTGCAGGCCCATATGGACTTACTTTTGAAATGCAATGTTACCTAAGTTTTATTGTATTTTTATTTATTTTGTTAAATATCTCTAAATTACATCTTAATCTGGATTGTACCGCACTTGAGAGTGTTATCCCAACCGAGTGTTTGACATCCCTGCATCAGGGTGTAGAACTCATTACAATCAAGTTTAGCTGTGTGCTATTTCTCATTGTCCCTGCCCTCCGCTCAGTGATTAATTTTTGCAAATGCTTTCTGAATTGATACTTCCTTTCTTCTGGGACAGAAAGAGCTGCACTTATTAGAAAATATCACTTGCATCAGTGGAAAGTAAAATATTGTTTATTATGTATTTTATCTACGGCCACTGAATGAAATCAGACTTTTAAAATCTTTCTTTAATACAAACCAAGTTCCTCTTCTAAAAGTCCTTTGCTTTTAAAATAAAATAAATTTTCTTTAAATTATCAAAGAACTCTTCCTAAATCCCTCCCAGAGAGCCATCTCTTATAACACATTAAAAACTTTGAAACTACAGAATGAGTTTCTTTGGGACCAAGCTTGGTCCTTATAATTTTACAGCAACACATTCACACTAATTACTTTACTTCTTTTTTCATTTTAAAATTCATTTTATTTTCAACTCCAAATTCTCCTTCCAACCTTCCTCCCCTGCTACAAAGCAAGGAAAACAAAACTCATTACAAACATGTATAGTCAAGTAAAACAAATGCTTGCATTAACCATATCCAAACATGTATGTGCATGTATATATAAAATATGTTCCATAATATATATTTGTTTATATTTATATGTGTGTATGAACACACACACACACACACACACACACACACACACACACACACACACACACATATATATGCCTATATCTGCACCCTTAGTTCCTCACCTTTCTCTTTCGAGGTGAGTGGTATGTTCCATCATGGAATTGAGGTTAGCCACCAGGTTGATCCTGCGATCAACACAATGTTCCTAAGCCTTTCAAAGCTGTTGGTCCTTACAATATTGTTGTTATTGTATAAACTCATTCTACTCACTTCACTTTGCATCAGTTTATACAAGTATTTATGAAACGATTTCCATTATCATTTCTTATAGCAAAATAGTATTCCATCACGTTAATATATTATAATTTGTTCAGCAGTTCCCCAATTGATGGACACCCCCTTGATATCTAATTATTTGCCACCATGAAAGAGCTACTATAAATATATTTGTACATATGGATCCTTTTCATCTTTCTTTGTTCTTTTTGGGATATAGAACTAGTAGCAATATTGTTGGGTCAAAGAGTAACAGGTTAATGACTTTCTGGGCATAGTTTGAAATTGCTTTCCAGAATGGCTGGACCATTCCAAAGCTCTACCAAGAGTGCATTAATGTACTTGTTTTCCCACAACCCCTCCAGCATTTATCATTTTACTATTTAGTCAATTTTAATAACCTGATGGGTGTCAGGTTGAGTCTAGGAATTACTTTAATTTGCATTTCTAGAGGATTTTTTTCATATGGCTATTGATAGCTTGGATATCTTCCTCTGAAAATTGCCTACTGACATCCTTTGACCATTTATTGATTGGGGAATTGCTTTTATTCTTATAAATTTGACTATATGTCTTAGAAATGATACCTTTATCAGAGAAACCTGCTGCATAGATTTGTTCCCAATTTCCTGCTTTTCTTCTCATTTTAGCTACATTAATTTTGCTTGTACAAAAACTTTTTATCAGTAATCAAAACTGTAAATCTGGCTTCCTGTGTACCTCTCTATCTCTTGTTTGGTCATGAACTCTTTTCCTATCCATAGATCTGACAAGGTAGTTTCTTCCATACTTTCCTAATTTGTTTATGATATTGCTCTTTTTTTTTTTTTGCCTTTTTGGTGAGGCAATCAGGGTTAAGTGACTTGCCCAGGGTCACACAGCTAGTAAGTATCAAGTATCTGAGGCTGGATTTGAACTCAGGTCCTCCTGAGTCCGAGGCTGGAGCTCTATCCACTGCACCACCTAGCTGCCCCTATGATATGGCTCTTTATGCCTAAATGATATACTCATTTGGAGCTTGTCCTGGTATATGGTGCTAGCTGTTAGTTTATACCTATTTTCTGCCAGAATGCTTTTCCATTTTCTCAGTAATTTTTGTTGAATAGTGGGTTCTTGACCCAACAACTGGGATCTTCGGGTTTAAACTAGGCTCCCTCCCATGTTTATTTGTTTCTGCATGTTGTGTACCTAATCTGTTCCACTGATTGACCTCTCCATTTTTCTTACTCAGGACCACTATAGCTCTATAGTCTAGTTTGAGATATGGTACTGCTAAGCTCCCTTCCCACTTTTGTTCATGAATTTCCTTCATATTCTTGACCTTTTGTTCCTCCAGATAAATTCTGATACTCTTTTTTCTAGCTCTATAAAGTAATTCTTTAGTGGTTTGATTGACTTGGCACTGAATAATTAAAGTAGTATTGTAATATTATCATTTTTACCATATTGACTTGGTTTACTAATGAGCATTTAATATTTTCTAATTATTTAGATTCTGTAAAGAGTATTTTATAATTGTGTTTAAGAGTTCCTGTGTGTGTCTTGACAGGTAGAGTCTCAGGTATTTTATACTATCTGTTGTTATTTTAAATGGGGATCTATTATCTAATGTGTCTAAAAATTTTTCAGGTCCTTCTTTTTGTTGTTGTTGTTGTTATATTTACATTTGGGGAGAGGGGTAAATTGAAATCCCTCGCTGTTATAGTTTAATTATTTCTCTCTGTAATTTAACTTTTAAGAATATAGATGCCATGTCATTTGGCACATATATCTTTAGTATTGATACTAATTCATTGTCATCGGTAACTTTCAGCAAGATGAAATTTCCCTAATTATTTATTTTGATTAAGACTATTATTGCTATTGCTCTCCTTGAGGTCATGATTGCTACTGCTGTCTTGTTTACTTCAACTGAAGCTTAATACATTTTACTCCAGTCCTTTATTTTTAACTGTATCTTTCTCTTTTGAGTATATTTTGTGTAAACAATACATTGTTGGATTCTGGTTTCTAACCCATTCTTCTATACTCTTACTTTTTTTGGGGGGGTGGGTTCATCCCATTTACAGCTAAGAGTGTTAAGGAAGTATTTCCCTCTGCTCTTTTTTTACGCTTTTCCTTCTCTTCATTTCCCACTCCCCTTTAAAAGTTTGTTTTGCTTCTAACCAATCTCTTCCTTATTCCTCGTCCCCTTTCCCCTACCTTTTCCCTTAACCTCTTTCCCTATTGTTTCCCTGTTGGGTAAAGTATGGTTCTGTACCCAACTCTGACTGTGTGTGTGTGTGTGTGTGTGTGTGTGTGTGTGCATTCTTCTCCCCTTTGATCAATTCAAATGAGAGTAAGGTCCAAGTCTCCTGCCCTTGGCATACCGAATTCTACCTGAGCATTCCATTTCTCTGTAATAATTCTCCCCACTCTTTTCCCTTCCTCCCCTTATAATGTATTTCTCTTTTCCTCCCCTTCCATCTTCTTTTAATATCATCAACACATAACAGAATCACACACAGCGTTCTATTTAATTAGAGTCCTTCTACGACCCCCTGACAATGATGGAGTTCTGAGGAGATACAGACATCACTGCCTCATATATACATATATGGGGAATATAAGAATACCAACAGTTTAACAGAGTTTTATCCCTTATGAATGGTCACTCATGTTTATTTTTTAATGCTTCTTTTGACTTCTGAGTTTCTATGCAAATTTTCTGCTCACTTCTGTCTTAGTCAGGAATACTCCGAAGTTGTCTTTTTCACTAGAGGTCCATTTCTCACCCCCCCACCCCCACCCTTGCAGGATAATATCCAGTTTTGCTGGGCAAGTTATTTTTGGTTGTAAGCCTAGATATTTGGCCTTTTGGAGTATCAGACTTTAGTTCTCCACTCTTGGAAGTGGTAGATATGAAATCTTATGCAATCCTAAATGTGGTACCTCAGCACTTGAATTCTTGGGGGGGTTTTTGTTTGTTTTGGGGGGAGTTTTGTTTGTTTGTTTTTCATGGCTGCTTGCAGTATTTTTTCCTTGACCTGAGAGCTTTGGATTTTGACTATCATATTCCAAGGAGTTTTCATTTTGGGGTTTCTTTCAGGAGGTGATTCTTTCAATTTCTACTTTGATTTCTTTTTTTGTTAGCTTAACTTGATTTTAATTTATTTCACCTTCCAGTGATAATAGTAATTTTCTTTAAATTTAAATTTAAGTTTAAATCTTTAAAAATATCTTAAAAGATGATTCTTAAATGATCTCTTCTCACTCTGTTTTCTAGGTCAGTTGCTTTTAAAAGCTATGAGATTTTTTTTTTCAGTTTTTCAATTAAAAAAAAAGTCTTAATGTCTCATGTAGCCATTCGCTTCTATCTGGTTAATTCTTTCTTGGGTAAGGTTTTATGCTTCTTGTTCCACACTATTAATTTTCTTTTCTTATCTTTCCTCTATGGTTCTTGTTTCTTTTCTCATTTTTTTGTCTTACCACTCTCATTTGGTTTTCTAAATAATTTTTATCTCTACTTTTTCTAAACTCTTGCTTTAGCTTTTCCAGAAATTCTGTTTGGATTTGTGCCCAGGCTGAATTTATCTTTGAGGTTTTGCC